ACATTAAAAACAAATAACTTCCTGGTATCCAGAAAGCTTACCGCGCAGTGAAAAACCCACTCAGCCAAACTAGAACATTTACAAATCCACAAATAAATGCCTAACTCACTAAAATTAGTTTAATGAAATGAATATTGTTTCAAATGGTTCAAATAGTTGTGGACAGAATAGAAGAAGCTTTCGCTTAACAGGCTTCCGTGTCTAGTAGCAGGGGATCACGAATAACTCCAGGAACCTAGTTGTGTTGACGATAAAAGAGGAAAAGAAATTGATAGATCATAGTGTGATACTATCCTTAGTCCTTAAGAATAGATCAAGTTGCCTCTAAAAGAACTCCCGGGAAGTCGATTGAACTAGCTCGGTCGGCAGTGAATTTCAGCATTTCACAACTGTGAAGGTATAGAAGTTGTGTATACAGTCCGTTCTGCTTTGTTATGTCTCCAATTTCTGGGTGATACCCCTTAGGTTGGTATTGGGACTAAGCTTAAGTATGTGTTTAAGAGGATGTCCAGAAGTGTTAAGGATACTGTAAGCCATCAGGTCACCACTAAGACGCCTATACTCTAATGGGTAAAGGTTAAATGAATGGAGGTGCTCTTCGAAATGTTTAAATTTGAGTCCTCGAACTGATTTCGTGGCTCACCGTTGGATACGCTCTAGAGTGTCCTTATCCTTTTGGAGTGAGAGAGGGAATACTATATTTCCGTACTCTAAATGGGGACGGCTAAAACCGTTGAAGATTATATGGAAAGTTCTTCCGTCAAACTGGCCGAAAATGCGCTTCAATGTTACCAGCACAAGGTTTGCTCGGAAGGCATTTTTGTCATGGTTAGCATAAGACTCTAAATCATGGGGCACCAGGACTCCTACATCTTTTTCGACCCGGGGTACTACTAGAGAGAAGTTTCCTAAGTTATGACTGTAGTCTGCGACATGTAGCAGATGAATTACTTTATACATTGAAGTGTCGAAGGTAAGTCCGTTATCGTCTGCCCAACTTTGAAGTCGAGTCAAATCCTTCGGAAGTGCTTGTATATTGTCTTGGTTGCGTATCTCTCTCCAAAGTTTCACGTCGTCGACAAAAAGTAATAAGTCTGACGTTACCTGTTGAGGAAGATCATTTATGTAGATCAAGAAGAGGATAGGTCCTATTACTGAGCCCTGAGGCACTCCACTGGGACATTACAAAGCCTGAGATAAAGTGAAATTAACCCTGACCTTAAAATGTCGATTTTTCAGGTATGAAGTGAGACAATCGACTAGAGGTGGTCTGATACCCAATCTTTTGAGCTTATTGATAAGACATGTATGGTTAACCTTATCAAAAGCTTTTGAGAAATCTAGGTAGATGATATCAACCTTCCCCTTGTGATCGAGGATGGTTGTCCATCTGTCCACCGCAGTCAACAGATTGGTTATACAAGAATGCTCCTTCCTGAAACCGTGCTGTTGGAGTGAACAGGAGTTTATGGATAATAAATAATTGTACATACCTTCGCATATCAGGGGCTCCATAATTTTTGAAGGTATTGAGAGAAGAGCCTCCGGTCGGTAACTTGAAGGTTCGCTGCGTCGACCTCCTGTGAAAATTGGTGTGATATGAGCCAGCTTCCAATTTTCTGGTTGTTTTCCTCGGCTTAGCGAGTGCGAGAACATCACGCTAAGCAGCGTTGCCAGGATTGAGGCTGCTTCTCTCAGTATGGCAGAATGAACCATATCCGGGCCAGGAAAAGTGTCGATTCTTAAGTGCTGCAGTTTCCGGAACATTAAGTCAGCGCTCAGGTTCACTTCGGTAAGTCCTTTGAGGTTACAGATGAAGCTTTCGTAAGTATAGTTTATGTGGGTCGGTTGAAATGTCCGAGAGTATTGCTCAGCCAACAGGCCAGCGGCGTCGCCGTCGTTGTTGGTCGGGTCGTTAAGACCTAGCAGTTAAGAAACTCCATTGGACTTCCTATATATGACTCCGACTAGACACCTCGAGGTAGTAGACAATCTTACAGGGTACCATATGGATTCCTCAAGATTGTTAATCTCGAGGTTATGAACTTGGTGTATCTCCAAGCAAGATCGCATGTACATGGCTGCTCCACCCCCAATTCCTGATTTCCTGTCGTTTCGAAACAAAAACATCCCAGGTACTGCTAGCTCCTGTTCCGAGAACTGAGAAGATATCCAAGATTCAGATATTCCTATCAGATGAGCCTTATGAATATTGCTAAGTTCACTTAGCTCATCCATTTCGTTTGGTAGACTCGCGACGTTCATGTATAAGCAGTTTACGCTTCCAATTTGAAACGCGTGAGCTTCTTCCTGTCTGTGTGTATGAGCTTTACGTGAATGGACAGCCTAGCTATATAAGGTTCGCCGAGTTGGTAGGCCTTGTCCTTTACAGCATCCGTGCTGCACGTAACACATTCCCACTTATGATCCGACTTGCTGAGTCTGTTGTAAGCAGTTGCTGTGAGATCTGTGCACGCTTCGTGGAACCAACCTTAGCAGTTGTCGCTCTGCATGCCTGATGTAACAGCAAAACTGCATCCAGGTCGTTTGCATGAACTTTTCATGAATGTATTGACGTAAACTGTGTTGTAGATGCTAGCGAAAGCCTAAGACCGTACAGAAATACACTAAAAAGCACACCGAAAACGAGCAAAAATGGATAAAATCGGAAGAGATTAACTGAGAAATGCTGTAAAAAACTGAATTTTAATCTGTGGCATAACCAGTTAGCTATTAAATTAAATGAACCTCGAAAATGTAATCTTCTGAAAGTATATCTCAGAATAGACCCATTCGATCAGAAATGGTACTTGTTTTGCGTTAGAACACAGCAAAAGTTTGATAAATGCAAATAACTTTAGTTCTAATCTTCTTGTTCGAACAGCGTGGTGCAAACAAATTCACTAAACTATACCAAGATAACAAGGAGTGAGGGGAAAGAAATTATTCGGTTTATGTAAACCTGTGACAAAGAAACTCGATTTATTGGATATTGGAATTTATAATTCCCACCCAGCAAACCCTTAAGACCCGAAGTTCCTTAATTTGTCAAGGTCATATTTAGGTTTGCCGATGGGCAATAAATTGTAAGTAGACGATTGTTTGTAGTTTAGTTTCAAAGTCACAGTGACTATGGAGCGTTATAAATGTTTAATGGGTAGATCGAATCGAGCAAATATTTAAACTAAGCAGTAGGTCGATAGAACGATGAGACTAATTTGTGGACGAACCAAACAGATATTAAACGAATTTTGGCGCAAAATTCATCCGCATATCAGTTCGTGATTAAAATCCTGAATCTAATTTTTAACCCTAACTACAAACTGAAAATGAGAATTCTAACTGCTTTATAATCCTCGTTTAGTTCTAATCAGTTGGTGTTTACTCTCAGGGTCGCTTCAACGCCGCTCAAAAGACGTCCATAAATCATAGTCTCATCAATAGACCTATCCTTATTACGGAATGCTAATGTCATTCTGTGACCTTAACCTCCCTATTCTGTTGAAAATTTTTTCCGGTTTGGGTAACTTTTAGGAAAATCGCCATAAAAGACTTCGGAGAATTTTTAAGGAAATGGCACACAAACCCCAAAGTTCAGGGGAAATCACCAAAACGCTTGGGGAAATTTATGGTTTCCCTCAATATTTTCACAGAATCTTTGGGTAGAACTTCCACATTTCCTGCGATGTTGGGGAAAACCCTAAAATCTACCTTAAGTTCAAAATTTCCCTAAGATAACGAAATTGGGTTGGATTTCATCTAGTACTGACTTTTCTGTAAATAAGTGAGTTATCTAACTTTTTCTTATTTGTCTTACTTGCATCAAATAAAATAAAAATGATTAGAAGCGTATTCCGACGTTGAGGTTTGACGAATGTTTGTATTGGGAAGAGTGGCCAAAATATTTCGAAATTGCCTATGTAGGCGTAAGTATACGGTGACCCACGTACAGACGTTAAAGTAACACTGAATTCGGCTCGATGCTGTTTTTTTACTATACATTCGACGTTATGTGCTGTGTTCATGCCTTTCAGAATCTTTCAAGCGATTCTGCTTGAATTATTTCCCTTCCACAATAATCAAACGGCCAAACAGAACGATTGGTAAAAGTCTTCAAATAGACCACTTAAATGAAGCAATAGGGTGCTGAGTCAAACAATTATTAGGTTTCTGACATAATATCAAGATTCTCTTCATTTCTGTTTTGGAGGAAATGTTACAAATGGTGGTAAACTTGATATTTATTGCTTCTGAAACCCTAAGACTATGATCTAGGCTTCCTACGACCACAATTGATATTACCTGATATATATATATATATATATATATATATATATATATATATATATATATATATATATATATATATATGCAGAGAGAGCAAATGAACTCATCTAGTAATCTGTGGTATCACTTCGTCAAAGAAAAGAATTGTAAAGTGGCAATGTTTTATTATTCTTGCAGGAAAAACTTTATGATTGTTTTGAATATTGTCTTTGTTGCATTAATGAAATTAACATCAAACGGAATTATTCTTTCTATATGTGTTCAAATATCTTGCTTTCTGTTAATCCATTGATTTTCACAGTCTTAAGTAATTACAGTATATGCTATGTATGATTTTGTGGATTGTTGAGTATGATTCGGTTGCCCACACTATTTTCAGCTCATAAAGAGGTTTAACCAGGTGGAGTAACAGAAGTAACGATTTAATTACTTCCTTGTTTGAAATTCCACTTGTATATCAACTTTTGTCTTTATAGGCAAGTCCTTATACCTGGTTTATATTACACCGGTAAATATAAATGAGGTGATCCAAATTGTTTTTCATTTTGATAGTTTTCAATTTTTGATTGCTGGTTCAACGTATTATTCAAAATGTGTCACCTGAGGTGTTCTTTCATCTGTTTTTTTATGCGATTGTATGTTACAATTTCCTGAAGGTGGTTGTATGTTTTGTTTCTAGATTTAGAATGCTTTAAAGCATCTACATCTTCATCATGTTAAGAATATATAATTGGTTGGCAAGATGCAGTTTATCGCCATATCACTTCGCATTGAGATTTTACTCTAAAAATCAGTGGCTTTTTAATGAATGTGACTTGTCTGAAATGTATGTACTTGGAAGTGGTCCAGGTGGTCAGTCAATTAACACGACTGCCAATTGTGTGGTCTTAAAACACATTCCAACAGGTATCATGGTGAAGTGTCAGGTATTTTCTATGTTTACTTTTCTTCGGATGTGTTTTTTTAAAGTGCGTTGCTAGCATGCTTTTACGTGTAACTTGGTAAAAGCAAATCAATCCATGAAGTTCTAAACATACAGTGGCCTAAATTAAATGAGTCATGTATCATAAATGCCAATTCAGTTAGCAATATGTCAAAATAACTTGAAATAAACTAACGGAAATAAGACCATGATACTGAGATTTTCATTCAACGATTAACTATTGGTGTAATTATGTACTTGGTTGCTGTCCTCGAAATGAGTATTTCATGATATTTCGTGTATAACCCGAACATGCTCGATACGATGGTGATTGCTCCTCAGAAGACGATATGTCGATACTGAGTTGATATTATAGAATGGAAATCAGATAGTTGATATATTTGTATTAATGAGTTTGATTTTAAACTATATGGTCCGATGTATTTGACTTATGATTGTAGTTGTCTCCTGAAGCCAACTCAGCTGGTATTATCTTACTACTCATATCAATAGTAAATGACTTAATAGATGGGTGCCATGTTTCGATTTATCACACTTAGGTTTCTATCCATTTCCAACATTCGCCAGTGTGGTAACCCCAGTCGGATGACTACGATTATATGATACAAAAAAGACGGATTAATGACTTGTCATCATTATGCCTATTGATTTAAGTACTTTCCAGTGGTCACTGTATAACCCGTTGACTAGTTTCATATTGTAATCGTGTATTTCCTTTAGCTACTTCAGATAATATTTCAGTCTCATTTATTTCATTGCTTTGTTAACTGACTCTCCAGCTACTTCTATATTGCTAAATTGGTTTCGGGTCATTCAGAAAACATTTTCTCTATCCAAGAGATATCACTTGAAGCAGTATGTATAGTGAATGCCTTGTAATCGTTCCTTGTCATGGTGTCAGAAATTAACTGAAGTAATTGTCCATAGTGTCCTGTAGTTTCAATGATTTCGGTATTATCAATTCGTGGTAAAAACTACCTATTAAATAGTATTTCATTAAGCTTTCGAATATGGGATTCCTGATTATTTGTTAATGCATACAAACATCACTCAGACTATCACATAATGATGTATAAAATATAGTTATACAATTCTTAATAAACGAAATAGGAAAAAAGGCAACTCAAATTTATATACCTGACGAAGCTTTCTTTGTACATGGATGATAACATAGCAGGACAGGCGACCCTTTTATATCAGATATCGAGCTAATGAATCTCGGTTTTTCTTCCACCGCATTTAAAGGGCTCAATTTAGTAATAAATATAAACTTGGTACACCCGTCCGTTCGAAATGCTACATATTTCTTGCCTCCAGAGGATAATCTGTTCTTTTTTTTATTAAAAATAATCTCCAGAGACTCATGTTTACGCTTTTGTAGATAAGTTTAGTAAGTAGATGACTCGCGCAACGAACTGAGATCATTTGGTAGAACGTTCGAAATCACTGAGCTCCGAACTCCCGTCCGTCATAGTATAGAACTCCTTAACAGTGCCCAATCATGACGTGACGAGGAATCGAACCCATGCCCTTCGGTCTCTCGTGAGAACGCTTGACCACTAAACTGGAACTTAGCGACATACAGACCTAACTCCAATCAGTTTGCGACTATTTTCCATTACTTTCGGTGCGTATATTCATCGAAAGGGTATTTCATGAGTTCCGGTCAAAAGCAGTGACCAGCAGAGTCCAATCGTGTTGGGTCCTGATGAGCCTCGCACTTGAACGAAATACCTGTCCCGTCCTAAGTTTTCAATGGTTATGTTAATTAAATCGGTTTATAATCTCGTTAAAGTTCAAAAATCTCCAGAACTTTACACTGGTAACGCAAAACAACTGTTTAATGCTCATTACCTTTTCAAGGTAAAATATTTAGTAGTATTCTATTTATCTGTTCATAATTAATTTTTAATAATATTTTGTTGTTGTTTTAGGATAGTAGAGAGCTGGAAAGAAATCGTGAATTAGCGCGTCAAAGATTAAATGATAAATTAGATGTACACTTTAATGGGGAAAATAGCCGAATTCAACAACTTCGTCATCGAGAAAAGTCGAAAGAACATCAACTTTATCTACGGTCTAAACGACGTCTTGCTGCAAAACAAGCGTTTAAAAGTACTCTAGGTTTGACAAAAAACAGTTTGTTGATTCAGAATGATGTGAATGTCGGTTTAAAAGACGACACCTAGTTATGTGAATGACTCGGTAGATTTATCACTTATCCTAATAATATCTCGCTATGTTGATATCCTTTTGCAATATGAACTGATGCACATATTTGTCAGGTTTTATGTTGCTTATGACTGAATGTAGATTTTAACCTGTTATATTTATGTGGTTACCTTACCTTTTGTACAGTGTTGTAAAAGTTAGAACACTAAAGACTTTTGCTTTCTATTGCTGTCATTAATCAATATCGTTTGTCTAGAAAAACCCTACTTCAATTTGTATCACGTAATTAAATTATCTCAGTAGTAATTATTTGTTGAATAATATACAGATAGTACAAGTACTGTTAAATTTTTTAGGTCACATTAATTTTTATTTCTTTAGCCACTTTTTGAATGGATGAAACCATCTATTCAAGCAATACGACTTTCAAAATCAAGTACACGTAATCGCATTACTATCATTATAACAATATTTTCACTTTTTTTTAAAACACTCAGTACCAATCTTGTTTATTTTAATGGAGTGAATTAGTTGGATGTATGACTTCAAGTACTTATCCCATTTTTGGTGTTATTACGCCGCGTGACCAGTAGATCACGTGTTCATGTTTCTTGTATGAATACAAGAAATGCTCGTATTTTCACACATTTTTTGTGTCCACTGACGATCGCAGTCGCCTAAATGACAACGAACTCGTGGAATAAAGTAGTTTAAGAACGTTTTACTTATTAGATCCCTCATAAGCTCGACGTACGCGAATTTACTTCAAGCGTTCACGTGATTGAATAAGCTTCACACTGGTAAACCAGACGCTGTTCAACGTCCGTTCACTTTTTACAGCTTCAGCAACACGCTAACATAAATTATAGATTTCGGTATCTGAAGATTAAATTCCATCAATTTGTTGGAAATTCTCTCTCTGGTTTTTATCTATCTTCTAAATAACTGAATCACTATAAAATAGCACATTATTCTTAAATTTATAATATTTTTGAAAGAGATAAAATCAGTTTACGGAATAGAGAAGTACTTAGAAATTTACATGCAGATGAAAATTGAATTAATCCGAAATGTAGTCGCCATTGAGTTCGGTTACTTTAAACTCACACCCGTTGATTATTCGAATGAGTAAACAAGGACTCAGAGACTGGATTTTCATTGAAACTCGTGTGTATGCTGGATGTGTCTGTAGTCTTCATCTACACAGCTTCCGACTCCAGCTTGAACAAACTCATACTAGTCCCACAATTAAGGATCGAGTATAATTGGTCAGTGCAGTAGGGGATTTAATCAATTCAGTAGGCAGATCAAAACTAATCGCATACTATGGGCACTTTATAACACCAAACAGATAAGATTAGCCCTTACGTCATGAGTTTTCTCTGATAACTGCCCATCTGAAGCACGAAGAGAAACTTTGGCTTAGAAATCCTCGATATCAGCTGAAAAATGGAGACAAATGAAATGTAACAGTCATCGATGTAGACGATCACTTGGTATCATTCCTCTCGAAGCTCGTATATCAATCATAACTACTCTAACGTAAGCTTATGCCTTACTAAAAGGTCTCTTCGGCGTTGACTCGAAAAAAGTTGTATTCAGGAAGGAATTAGTCAGGGACTTAGAGAAAAGTTCGCATAGTAGTAATGGATGCCAAAAGCATATTTGGAAAGGTCAGTAGAGAATTCACATGTAGACTAACAGTATACTTATCATAAGAGTTTCAAAAAACCTCTAAAGATTACTGATAAATTATGAAGTTCACATAACAGTCACATTGTTTTTTTTTGTGTGGATTTTAATAGATCTACATATCTGACGGCTAAGGAGCCTTGAATTTCCTTCAAATACTTGTAATCTGTGCACCATGCACTTCCCTATGCATTAGAATACAATTAGGTTTAGTTACTTCTACATGTTGTTGAGTATCATATACAGTTAATTTACTATTAAATGGGAATAAAGTCATTTAAATTAATTAAGAAATCGTAATAAGTGAAACAATATAAACAATTTAATCTAAAATTGGATATACAAAATAAGAATGAAAATGAATTTTTTGATTAATAAGAAAATACAATTTAAGAAATTACGTATTAAATCTCATTGATAAAATCAATTGACATCATGGTTTAATAATGATGATTGAGAGGTACGAAATAATGTTATAGACGATAAAGGAATAGGCAAATAATTTGCGAACATGAAATTCAGATAAATATCAGTGATTCTAAGTATTGGCCTCACCATTAACATTGATAAAATGTTATGCAAGACATAACAATATATTCATTTTAAAATATTTACTGTTCAACCAACCAATTTGTATTCTGGATCATATTATAACGACAAAACAACATTAGGAAAGAGTGCTAGTATATGGTAAGTGTATTTCATATCGTTGTAAGTGTACACACAAAAAATGCACAAAGAAGTAATTCATATTATACTTTTCATGGAATCATTTCGGCTGAAGTTCTATTGATCATATTTGAAATTCTTATATTTTGTCGAAGAGCTGGAATGTGATAAGTAGTTGAATGGTCCAAACTGTATGATGAATAAAATTGTGGTAACTTTCTATGAGAGTTAACTTCCAACCTTTCCTCGAAAGACTGTAAATGTGTATGACGACAGAAGCATGGATTTGTACAACGATTAGTTTTCTTTGTTGATTTATTCACTTTACGTAAAGTACCGTTTACCCTACTACTATCACCATTCATACCATGAGCGACTGTTTGACCTGGTTTGTTACACGGCGTTATGAAGACCTTTGTATAAGGATTGTTCCCTGATTTAGGTTTGAAGTATTGATCATCAATATCCAAGGCACCATCAGACTCATCAGATATTGAACGAGGACTACGTACTGAATGGTCAATTGGGCCTGATTTTGGAATACAATGAAAGGAGTATCGTGGCATAGAATAGGTAGATGAGAATCTAAAAGTAGGCTGAGTTACGTCATCCTTCGAAAAAGATAACGGCAATTGACTCATAGCAAATAACGACTCTCGACTGGCAACCTGACGTGTCTTGTTCATATTTGAAGTGTTGAAGCGTTTTAAATGATGAAACGAATACATAGAAATAATCTACAAAAAAGGAAACAGAAATACATAATGAAATTTAAAAGTACATTTTCTTACCAAGCACTGAGGTATTTGTACTAGAACAAATAATTTAAAAAATAAGGATTTAACCGAGCTGAATGTAGTGGGTTTCCTATTATTAATTCACCACTTAACCACTAGATAAAAAACACAGAAGAGGATGAGGGACGTAATTATTTAGTTGTCAAACTCACTGAATGTTTATATCCCTCGTCTCCTCAGCTTGAATCGGACTTAGATGAACAGATGTGAGTTGAAGGATATTTGACTAAATTCACCATAAACCTAGTTCTCATTACCATAAGTAATTGTTATTGCGTAAATGAATATTGTAATTGGCCAAAAATCATCAACCGGCAGTCTGTGCACCTAGATCCGAAATGCTTACAGGCAGGTGCTTTATTATACTCAGGGTTCTTTAGCTAGCGGTCATTTAAAATGAATATATTCATAAATGTATGTAGAACTGCGATATCATCCGAGTTGGATTAGTAAATTGCTATACACGATTTTCTAATTATATAAACCTTTCTGAAGCAATTCGTTCGACTTTGTAGATGATCTCGAAAAGAATATCTGAATAATAACCTCGACGACTACCTAAAGGTGGATATAAATCAGTCAACAGTTTAATCTTTGATCAGCTGAGTTATTTGGAAGATATGAAGATTTTACATTATTTCAAGTGGAAAGATAGTTTTGAAGTGGATGAAAGAACAACTAAGTGAACACTTGGAAAAAATTACAAACGATAGTGATAATTGGAGACAAGTTAATCGAAATTAAGAATTTACCAATGACACTCAAAGGAAAATGGGATGAAACTATAGGATTAATTAACTTCAGAACAAATGCTCTACAGAAGATTGCCTATCAAGCGACAAGTTTTATCACCTCATGTGAAACGAACTGCGTCAGAGGCTTACCTTAGAAGCAAGCCATTCGGAATCGAGGACGCAACTTTTAGGTCTTTGCGCAAAATTTAAATATTGAGGATGTACTTATAGTGAACCATTACTTATTAATTCCATTTTCACCTAATCACCTTACTTTGATCACGCATGTATTTTCTCGGGAGTGATTATTCACCCATTATATATTGTAAGTTTTCCAGATTTGTATCCATATACCACTTCATTTAACCATACATTTTTAAACTTATGTAAACTTCTTAAATCTTCTATCATCGTTAGGGCAGATATCTTATCGATTTTAAAATTATAGATCATTACCGATATCCCCTCTCTTTATGATTTCCATGTCTATCTTTAAATAACCATATTCATGCTTATTCATATATATATATAGCACTGATAATTATTTCAATTTTCCCAGTCATCGATGTTTATCATTCAATACTATGACGAATTTCAATATATGGTCGTAAACAAGGTGATGAGAACCTCCGTAGTGAAAAAAGTTCCCAATACTCTGTGTCAATTGTTGTTCTAGCTTTATTCAAATACCAAAAAATAAATTTCTATGCTACTATGAAATCGATAAGTGCTGGTGTAAATACCAAATTTCGTAATAATCTTTCTGCACACAGTTTACCAAATGATTAACCTACATACCTTCGATATTGACCAAACTCCATACAAATCAAACACATAAAAGGATGGCTGATATATAAGGCAATAAGGATTAAGTCTGAAAAAGATGTATTGGTCATAAGCTGATAATGATGACCTACAAAACACACAACTTGCAATCATTTATGAATTGAATGATCTCTAATCATGTTTATACAGTGTGCAATATTTTGTATACATGAATGTCGTATATTTTAAAGATA